TACTTCAACGAGTCTATCTCACAGGAGATCATGGCCCTGGAGCCCTACGTCAGTCACACCGAAATCAACCGCACGACCAACGACGTGGACTCTGTCTACTCTTCAGGCCTCGCAAATGGCTACAACCCCGTCATCGACATCGTCCCTCTCGATGGTAGTGACATCACCAAAGGCATGGTCGGCTACATCACCATCGGTATCGACACGGAGAACAGTCCTTCCTTGAGTGGGCCGGAGAGCGAGCAGGGTGGCGGAGGCGGGTCTCCCAGCGGAAGTGCCATGCCTAGCGGCACTGCGCCGGCATAAGAGTGAACGGATGGTCACCGATAACTGCAAATATTCGGAGTTTAGGGGGTTCTGGTACGATATAGACTATAAAAGCACACGGGATAGAAATCAATATCATTGAGAACATTGAAGACCGTATTCCATTGAAAAAGCAACGAGGTTTCCATTGTATTTCATGCTCCAAGGTGTCTTTGAGTCAAGGCACTCCGTTTCGATCGTACAAGACTACAATTACAAATGTGTTAGGAAGATGGGTAAGTTTAAGAGGTTGGCGAGTGCCTGCTTGGGCTTCTGCGTATTCTCGCCAACCCAGCCACACGAATACACACCGGATGAAGCCGATATAGGTCCCCCAAACTCCATTCCTGTCACCAGCCAGCAGGCGCCCGTCTAGGTCGACGGGTCGGGTCAAACTGGCTGGTGGTGGAGTGGATAACGGTCAACAATCAATTATACGCCAATGAGCCTACTCGACGACAGGCTTAGCGAGAGTACCCAAGTTCGAATCCCAGCATGAGCAGCAGAAGTTTCCCAGTATGAGCACCAAAAGATGTAGCCCCCAGCTCAGCACCGGGGGGGGGGGGGGGGTGAACTCTTTTGTCATTTTGGTCCTCTAACTAAACCTTTTGATAATCCCATTTCTAATTAATTAAATCAGCATGAAACGTAGCTTTTCGGTTGTTGCCACCCAGTCGGCGCGATGCATCAGGTGATAGCTTCCAATACGCCGGAACTTTTGTAGTTGCTCATTACCCTCCGTTCCGCTTGTATATAGAGCTGTGTTGTTCTTCGGCGTTTGCGGCACAGGCTCCAGAAATAGTCCCTCAAACCTCAAAACGCGGTCTGTATGGTTGACCAACGGAAGACAAACGACAATGTCTCCTGCGGGCGTCTCTTCAGGCGAGTCCCAACCGTACATTTGCGTCCAATCTGAGTCGGACTCTGAAATCGTCGGCTGAAGCATCGAACCTAGTGCTTTCCAATCTTTTGCACTAGGGAATGCCTGGAGTCCAATCAATTCCTCATCCCTGCCCTTCAGTTGTGAAACCATGTGCTTCGCGTCGCCCTCGTCGGTAGCCTCTTTTCTATAAAACGCCACCTTGAGGACACCCTCTAAAATCAACCCGTCATTTTCCGCCTTTCCGATCCTATTCGTGCCACCGAATCCAGAGGTGGTGAGATCAACAGCTTTCACCAGCCCGGTCCCATGCGGATACCAGTTCCCGAATGTTACAGATGTGTTCAGTGTCATCCATGACCACGATGGCGCCAAATAATCAGTCGGCCGCGCTTGAACTTTTTCCTGAGCACCCCAAAGCAGAGCCCATGGCAAACTCTCGTCTATCCATACACCATAAGCTTGCTTGGTATCGCGCTTCTCCTGCAGCTGACTGGGCAAGCCCAAGAACGCCACCTGCCTGTCGCTAGGGAACGTAAGCTGTGTTTTTGAATACATCTTTACTGTTTCCGACCATGCAGCCTCAAAGGGTTTGCTACCCGCGCTCTCGAGCAGCATATTTCGGAAACGTCTCCGGTCACCGATAAACTGCCACCAGATAGTGGCAGGCTGCGACGGGACCCCTTCAGGAAACGATTCACAAAGTTCGTGCTGGCCACATCCCCAGAGGATCTGCTGCCGACCATAGTAGAGTGTTCGAGGAGAGAGCAGGCGCTCCTGGAAGACCCAAGCTCGCTTATGCAGGGGTGCCTCTGGAATGTCTGATTTCCATCTGGCATCTAGGTTTTCACCGTGAAGAAGAAATGGCGGAGCCTCAGAATCCGTCGAGAACGGCGATGGTATGACGCAGGGCAAAACAGTCCAGGGGCCTCTGTCCGAAAAGCAGCCGCCTGACCCGTCTGCCGCATGGCTTGCGGATATGGTGCAAAGTGATAAGCTGTATACCTTGCCCATGGTAGGAGCCTCTCTTCGCCAGTCATCTTCGCTGTGCTGAATGATACATATGGAATCTATCCATAAATATCGAACACCAAGTTTCTTGGCGATGACAAAGGCGTCGGAAAAGGTTTTGGAAAGCTCTGACTGCGGTATTTCTTTCATAAACTGCTTGATGTTGGTCTCTAGGAGAATGCACGGTTGCTTGAGGCCCCAGCAGTGACTCAGCGTCATCCATCGAACTGGGCGTTGTAGAGATCGCGAATGGACCAGCCTGGCCACGTCGGAAGGGGACTCTCCCAAGTCAATTAGGCGTGTAGGGGCCCATCCATCTTCATTCGGCATTGAGCAATCGTGTGATGTCAGGCACTCTCTGAGAAATTTCCGAGCTAAGCTAAATGCTTGCTCCGAGCCAGTGTTGATGTTGAGAGCCAGAACCGACTCTTCCCATGGGATCGAAGCTGCAAATTCCGCTGTCACTTTGCATGAGCTTTTCATATCCTAGTAATACCATAGTACCATTACTCAGGGGCATTACGAACCTGTTGTTTCTTCGATGGAGAAGAAGATGGTTTGCATCCGATTGGCATTCCCCTCGTCGAGTCTCCACAGGCCCATGTGGATTTTGTAGCCTTGCGTTCCGCTGGCGAACCCGTATCGAAGCTCAAGATTGCTGTCCGGGTTCAACATATCCCAGTCTGGCCATGGTATCTCGGCCTTTCCCACAAAATTCAAACGCCGAATCCATATGAGACTACAGATCCGACAGCCACCACGCTTCCCTTGTTCTAGGCTCTCTTTTGTGTGCGGAAGCCGGTAGCCATCACTATTCGAAGAGTACAGACCGTATGAAGAGACGTCTCTGGCTTCGGTGAAAATAGTTAGGCAATGATCACATAGATGAGACCAGCGACGGTCGTGAGGTCGAGTCGCCATAGCCACAAGGATTGTCTATCAATATTAAGCTCCGAGCTGGATTGCTCAAGAGAGTGATTCGGGAGCTGAATGTATCTTACTTTGGGCAGCTAGGTAGTTTTTGAAAAAGGATCCTTCTACTCAGGTTATAGATTCAGTCACGTGACGTAAGCAAAGTTGGACTCGTCTGGATTTCTGCTGTTCATTGGTAATTACTTCTTATCCTAGTATTGTGCAACGGCTCAAAGGTTGTTTACAATTCTATTGGTAGCTACCTAGGCATGAATACTAAGAAAGGGACGATGCAACGTCTCGCCAGCTATCCTTCTCAGGCCATCGCCTGTTCCACGTCAACTAGAGCCATTCCCACAAGTTTACAAACTCATCAAACTAATCACGACAGCTCTCGTCACCAAACTGTTAGAAGCCTGATACAAGACTAGGAACATCCTTACAGAAGTCATAAGAGATTACATCTCCCATCAACATCAAAATGTCCTACGACCTGTTGAAAACGCCTGATTAGCCAAAGCATCCGCCTCCCTATTTTCCTCCCTCGGAACAGGCCAGAACAAGATGTCCCTCCCCCCATCATCTCCATACGTCATCTCATCCAACCGCTCATGTAACTCACTCAACACCTCGAAATGCGCAACCCTCTTCCCCCTCGCATTCAACCCCTCATTCTCAATCCAGTCCCCAATCCAGAGCGCCATAGCATTCGCAAGATACTCCGAGTCCGTCGCAATCGTAATCCGGTTCAACGAATAATCCCTCCCCGTAATCTCACAAATAATCCCCACAGCCTGCACCAGTGCCTCAATCTCAGCCCTCGAATTCGTCTGCGGGAGATCCCTCGAGAGCAGCCCGCAGGCGTTGTACCTCGACCCGGGACCGAAGTAGACGCCCCACGAGGCTTGCGCGTCGGGGAGCCCATTGTTGCGGCAGGCGCCGTCGATGTAGACGACCATGCTGCCGCGTTCGGGGACGGGGCGTTTGGTGGCCCAGGAGTACATTTGCATGCCGAGGAGCTGGGTTGAGGGGTTGTAGATGACGAGGTCTGCTTTTGGGACCATTCTGTGGGTATCGCTTGTGCGGTGGTCGAAGAGGCGGCTGCCCATGCCGTCGTCGTCGTCGTAGCCCATCATCTTTGCGGTGTTGCTGAGTCGTTTTCACGAGGAGGTTGTAGAGGATGAGGGTGAGTCGTTCCTGTTACACAAGAGAACACCGTCGTTTTGGGAATGTTGTTGATGATCAGACGGTTCAGACTCTCATCTGGTAGTCTGGTCAATATAGTAAGCACGATTTATAAGACAGACATTGATCTTGTGGACTGACCTCTCACAATAGTATGAGATATATCAGTCAACCGTGACTATTAGTAACGTGTAAGTCACTCGTGCTAGGTTGTTGGTCTGCCAAATGTAGCCTGGTCGTGAGCTTAACAGAGGTTGACAGAAGCATGGGCAAAAGAGGGGGAGAGGCAAAAGCTAAACCAATAAAATTAACCTAAAGACGGATAAAAGTGGCCCCTTGCCTTTGAACTTCAGATGCTTCTTGGTTCTGATGTCTTGTGGCCATTATCCATTCCTTTTTCCTGTCCTTGCAACTCACACGTTCGAGTTCATTTTCAGGCCATGATTCAGGTGAAGGATTCGGGATGGTAGGTACCACATGATCCACCAGATCAAAACAAAAACTATTCAATATTCACGCAAGTGTCTCGTCAGCTTTTGATTATGGGCAACGTTACCTCTATTTTTGAAGTAGAAGAGACATGAGCCAATGCTTATTCCTCTAACCTTGGGCCTCTCGCAAAACTATCTAAGCACCTAATTTCTAACCCCATCAGCTTCAAACATCTATCACAGCTACTTTTCATCTGCGAATTAACCCCATACCATTAGACAAACATCGTCAAAATAGCCAGCAAAATGACGAGGAGCCCAGGCAACAACATCGGCATCATTAACTCCTCAATCGCAAGCTCCGTACTAGGCGATATGAGACTCAACGGGAAACTAGGCGGGAACGCCCGCCTCCTTCTCTCAACAGTCTCCATCAGATGCCTTGGGATATTCGTAATATCGATTGTCAAGCGATGCGTGCTCTTGCTTCCATCATGCTTTACGTATAGCGTCGCGAGATCAGGATCATACGACCACTCTCCATCGCTAACCTTGATATCGATGTTGCGCTGGGCGTAGTGGTACTTTGGCACAAATATCTCCGTCGTCCGCGACTTCTCCGGTTGAGCTTTCCTGTTCTTGGTGTCAACCTCAGCCTCTGAGGTCCACTCGAACTCGTAGTGGAGGGTCCGAGGATCCCAGTCCGAGCGAACGGAACGACCTGCGATTTTGACAGCGTAAGGACGGATGATCACGTCCAGGACTCTCCCGCCGCGGTACAGCTCATCATCCTCGTGCGCTTCATTCGCATAGTCTGGCAGAATGTGGCCCGGCTTCGCTTCAGTGTCGCCGTTAACGACAGAGAAATCCTCCTTGTTCCACCCATCGCCGTACTCCACACGGTTATCAGGGTTATAATTCCACAGCGTAAATGCGAGGTTATTATCCTCCATGGCGGAGACGAGCGCGTGCATCAGCTCCCGTAGCTTATCGTAGTTGCCCGTCTTGAAGGCTTCACCGCCGTTAATGTCGTAGGGGATGCCGACCTCGCCAATGAGGGCGGGCACGTGGGTTCCCAGCGACTTTTGCCCGTACTTGAGGATGTTGGCGAGCTGCGTGCGGTAGTTTTGGCGGAGCGCCTTGGCACCGAAGTAGAGTGCTTTCAAGATGAACATGCCCCTGGAGAGACCTTGTACGTTGACGCTCATCCAGGAGTGATGCTTGCTGAACAGTACGTTGAGGTCGTAGAAATGAGGGGCAAAGACGAGGTTTTCTGGTCTCGGAGTATCGATGATTGTCTTGGTCGCGTATGTCTGTTTCTGTCCTGCTTCGTCCACCTTGCCATCCTGGCCAACCCAAGGGGGCACAAACTCGTTGGGTATCGGCTCAAAGAAACAGAATTGGCGGGATGACTTCCGTGAGACACGTTCCGAGAAGCGCTTGAGAAAGGGACCGTAGAAGTCGCGATACCATTCCAGTGGTTTCCCTTCACGACCTGGCCGATGGTCCACCTCAAAGTAGTCTTGCTGCAAGACCTTTGGGCTCTTGGTTACCTCATCCCATTCCCACACGCCATGAGCGCGCCATACACACTCGCCGAGACCATAGTTCTGTGGGTTCGATGCACTTGGCTTAGCAGTCAACCAAGCAGATCTTCCCTTTGGATCGACAATAGTTTTGTGAGAAATGCGAGTGGGGAACGGCCAGGACTTGACATAGTAATTCACTTCTTGAGCGTAGCCACTGGCAAGTGCGAGCGCTTGTGTCAACGAAGGGTAGTACCCGATATGCAAGTCGGTATCGTAGTTCCAACCGTCGAACCCATGAAGATTGACGAGACCTCGATGTGGCTCGTTCAACGGCTCGAATCCAACGCATGCCTCGAGACAAGCCACTTCATCCGCGAGTCGGCCAAAGGCTTCGATGAAGGCGCTTTGAAGAAACTCCTGGGCCGAGACAGGCTCCTCTCTGCCATTCTTTGGTCGCTGACATTGCAGCTTCGGCGCCAGAGCTTCGCCCGCCCAAAATAATGTCGCCATTGTCGACGCCGCAATCTTCTGGTACCCAGACGGCCACACAAAAGGACCGCTCGGCTCCTTCTCATTGACAGGTGCAGTAGCTCTCCTCAGCTCATCCTGCCCATGCACATACGCAGCACCAGTCTCAGTGAACGCCTCGACATCGAGTCCAGCAACCTCAAATGTCCAACCAGGTGCACCGCTGCCGCCACTGAATCGGCTCCACACGTCCTGATGAGCGCAGATGAAACACTTGACACCATATTTCGGCATTACCTCAATGAGTTGGCGTAGGTAGTCGATGTACTCCAAATCCACATCCGTATCCGGGTCCGGCCCGGAGTGTCCAATCGACTCCCACGTAACGAGCAGACGAATAAGCGGCAAACCCCAAGCCTGCAATCGCCTGAAGTGCAGCGGCGCATCTTCAAGAGGAAACGGCCTGCCAATAAAGGTCACCGTCCGGTGCTCGAAGAAGCCGTCAGTGAGATGAGACAGGCCGTTCGGCGTCGTGGGCAGTTTGCTTGCCCCGGAGATGTTGAGGCCGTGCAGCGTGACGGTGCGCCCGTAATTATCGATAAAGTAGCCATCTTTCAGGCCAATCGGACCTCCCAGTGCCGCGTCTGAGAGGTCTTGCGCGGCGTATCTAGCCACCATGGTGAAGAGGGCGGTGAAAGGGTCGTTGAGAATCAAGGTGTAAGGTGAGCTTTTTAGCTTGATTGGCCAGGGATGAGCTCCGGGACGTTACGCGTACTGACAGGGCTTCGTCAGGACAGATAGCCTGCTTAGTCAGCGATCGATCCTTTAGATGTCTAGTCAGTTGCAGTCACCAAGTTGACATGTTTACAACCTATCAATGTGGAGATCTCGGATACCTCTTGAAGATGTGTGAATTCAATTCAAAAATACTGAGTTGTGAATCGGAAAGGCCGAACCATTCTCAAGTTGTTCTGGGAGAGAAACCTGTTTACGAATACCGTACCGGGAAAGTCGGACTCCGGAGGTGGATGCTATGCCAAGGTTTGTGCCTCGTTGACTGCTCAAGGTCCTTGAGCCATTTAACCACCTGCCCTGACTTGATTGAGCCTTGAAAAAAGTGTTGAACTGCGATACTCTCTCAGACGTATGTACGTGTTTACAGCAATTTTCACCAGTTATTTTGGGACCGGCTTGTTCTGATTTATTTTCATTATTCATAGAGTCGTCCATCTATGGCCGTCTACGGCTTTTTCTATATAAGGCCCGCATGGTATCATGAACTAGGAACGCGGTAGTTTTTCATTTCGCTGGAACAACACACAAACTTAAAGCTTGCGAACGACCTTGTTGGAGGCCTCCTTCTCCTCCTTCTCGTCCCAGATGTTGATGTTCCAGCGGGGCTTGTAGGTGAAGGGAATGTTGTAGCGGCGGGGCTCCTTGCCAATCTCGTTGATGGCAGCAACGTCCTCGTCCGAAATCTTGACCTCTTGGAAGTTGGACTGGATGCGGCTGGGGGTGACGGACTTGGGGATGACGGAGTGGCCGCCGACCTGGGACCAGGCGAGAACGACCTGGGCGGGGGTGGCGTTGAGCTTGGTGGCGATCTTCTTGACGACGTCGTTCTCGATGAGGAGGGGAAGACCGAAGCCGTTGTTGCCAAAGGCCTGCGTGTGTTAGTCACTGGGTCACAGAGGAGAGATATGATGCTAGGGTTCAACATACAGAGTAGGCGGTGATGTGAATGTTCTTCTCCTTGGCGTACTTGATCAGGGTGTCGTTCTGCTGGAGGAGGGGGTGGCGCTCGATCTGGTTGACGGCGGGGGTGACACCGGTAGCGTCGATGACGGTCTGGAGGTCCTCAACAGTGAAGTTGGAGACACCAATGTTCTTGGCCTTGGACTTGGGGAGGTCGATCAGGGCCTTCCAGGTGTCGACCAGGGAGACGCTCTGGTCGAGGTCGACCTCACCCTCGGCGGCGAGGGGGAAGAGCTTGTCGCCATCCTTCTTGAAGGCAACGGGCCAGTGGATGAGGTAGAGCTGTAAGTGAGGGGTTAGCCGGGTATTGCTCGCCCGTTACCAGCCAGCCTGGCATGGGCACAGTGGGAAGACATACGTCAAGGTAGTCGAGCTCAAGCTCCTTGAGGGTCTCGTCGAGAGCAGCCTCGACGTTCTCGGGCTTGTGGTTGTTGTTCCACAGCTTGGAAGTGATCCAGATGTCCTCACGCTTGAGGCCGGGGATCTCGGCGAGGGCCTTCTTGATACCCTGGGCGACCTCGGGCTGGTTCTGGTAGATCTTGGCGAGATCGAGGTGACGGTAGCCGGCCTTGAGGGCCTCGTAGACACCGACGGAGACTTCGCCGGGGGCGGACTGCCAGGTGCCGTATCCCAGAGTGCTAGAATTACCAGAGAGTCAGTTTTACTCGGTGTGATTCTCTCGCTTTACAGTTGGGGGAGGGGAAGAAACGAGGCAGAGCGCGAACGCGAGAGCGGGGTATCGCGATCGGCAGGGGGGATGGATGGAGGGGTAATTCTTCAGACGTACGGGATCTCGGCGCCGGTGTTGAGCTTGGCCTTGGTTCCGAAAGACATTTTTGCTGAATTTGGATGAGCAGTGATTTAGAAGAGAAGAAGTGGAAGAGTGTGAAATATCGTGAGAATCACCAGCAGGAGGAAAGACAGAAGGAGAGAGCTTTTAGGTGGCCTCTTTTTAAACAAGTGAGGGGTTCCAACACGCAATTGCATCATCGTTTGTCAGGATGAGCTGCGCACCCTGATGGGATGGGGTACCTCGTACTTTCTCTCCGTGACGCCCACTGTCGGACCCGCTAAACGGCCTTCGAGTACCAATTGTCGATGGAGGATATGAGAGATGGAGGAGAAGACGCGGGTTGCCCCAGGACACGGTCGTGACGCTGCCACCGTCGCCAACTGTTAGGATTGCCTGTGTGGGTTGGTCGCGGCGGGGGTCGCAGTCGTGGGTGTGGACCGTGGGCGATGGTGAGACTGGGGGACCCCGCGCTTCCACCTCAATCTCCCGTCTTCTGTCTCTCTCGGCTGCGGGAGCCCGACGTCGGCCATCACGGAGGGGCTCTCGTTACGGCGTACGGATAGGCTCGCTTGGAATTGAGACGTGAGTCCGTTTGGATCCGTCTGGGTCCGGCACCGGGTAAGCAGTACACGCTGGCCCGTCCCGGCACATGTTAACATCTTCACACCTATGAACCTTACCTTGGCTTGAGGCCCTCAGGTTTATGTGAGATGTCATTCATAAGACCCAAGCACCCTTGATACGGAGCATTGCGCTGACCACCTCACTCTCTGAATTCACTTTGTGAGATGAAATCGACTCCGTCATGATGGCTTTGTATCACGTCTTATCTCTCACTCATGTCGTCTTGATCATGTCAAGCATCGACACAATGTCGTGCAGTGACGGGACAGACGGCGTGGATGGCGATCAGTGTAGCTCATGGAAATGCCGCAATTGCCACTAGACTTTGTCCTCGGCACATCTTTACACCAAGCCCCGAACGCGTGTTCCACTCAAATGTTTTCATGTTCCACACAACCTTAATCTGATGCGATCAAATAAGATTTCGCCCTTCGAAGTATGGCAAACTGAGAATGCGTGGTGCAACCTACAACGCGACTACAAAACAAGGTCCATCAAATCCACTGCTCACTCTCCTTGTTTGTGCTACTACTGTCAGGTATCTATACTCATGACTAAACACGCCTCTCAGCAACATTTTGTCAATGAGGATACAATTGACGACGACGATCGGGAGTGTGAAGGGAATGAGTAGTGCGCGTACCCTAATGACGTAGGACCGGGCAGATGAGTTCTTCAATGAGCGCGTTGTGAGTTGAACATAGTAGGACTAGGTTGCGAATCACTTCTGAGTGCCTCGCATAACTCTGAGACTTCGTCTTGGACGAAAAAGTGAGAGCAGCCAAATTGTTCTTGGCAGAGAACACTGCATCCATAATGATTGAGATCAAGCCGTGTGTATTTACAAGAATTGGCGATGAACATCATCCTCTGCCTCGACCCCCACGTCAATCATATCCATGCAAGCTATCATCTACATCGGAAAAAGAATCTCACATCCAAAGCCAAGTTCCCGACCAGGTAAGATGGGCACAGGCGCCGGTTCCTGCATCCTTCACACATCTATCGCCCAATCATTCCCCTAGTGAGACATCTCATGCTGCTCGCTTACGCTCAAGAAGCGCGTTCTGTAGCGCCGCCCTCGTCTCGAAAAGATCATCAGGGGGGCTCTCAAGGGCCTTACAGGATGCGGCCCGCCACGGTCCACTACGGAGAACCATAAAATTAGAACGCTCCAAGACCGTGGCTGCCGACTGGTGCGTTAAGACGCGAAAGGTGTTCACAACTTACGGAGTACTTCTCCTCATCATCTCAGTCATGATGGTAAAAGACGAAGCTCCAAAAACATGATGAGAGTCGAATTGATTATGAGACCCCAGATACCTTAGACATGGCGCGGTAGCTGCCCAAGGCTTGGTCACTCGTGCTAGGTCGTAACGCTGGCCTATTTCGGAAACTTTGGAAATGCCGAAATGCCGAAGTGTCGAAATATGGGTCTCTGTTCGGCGCCGAAACTGTCAATGATCTCCTTTCATTTACACTCGATGGGAACCATCATTTGGCCTTTCACCTTCATCCTTTGCATTTCGCCGAAAAGCCGACAATAAATACTGTCCCGGTAGCTGGGCAGTTCCCAGAGCGGAATTGCCATACGGGCCTACATGGCGACCCCCACCGACGTTGGAGTTGGCGTGGCGCGACTGAGCAAAGCGTGCACCGAGTGTCACTCGCGCAAGGTGAAGTGCGATGCGCCTGTTGTCGGGATACCCTGCGGCCGATGTGTCAGCAAGGGATACGCCGAGAGTTGCAAGCTGGTCTCTCGCCAAATACGCAAGAGGTAGGCGAAAGCCATGGTGAAACTCAATAACCATTCTTGATTCTCTGACGATGACCTCAAAGGAAAAGAAGAGTAGACGATTCGGTCCAAAGCCGAGACAGTACCCAAGATGTCAGATCGCCATGTTGCTTCCCATTGGTCTGTCCAGACCACTTGAGCTTGTTGTACCTTATGGCATACAAAAGCTGTGGAGATATCAGTGCGGACTGACTGACTGGAGTAGAATACAAATGGTACACCCAGAGATTCCTCATCAAGTTGTGCTATAGGGGACTCATCAAGCCTTTCGAATTCAAGCGTGCGGCCGTCTTCCATTCGACGCATACAAGATCCATTTGGCCCTAGTGAGCTTGGGAAAACGAGCTCAACAGGCTCAGGCCGCACGCCCGAAAATATACGAGACGTCTATGCACTCCCACAGGCGCAAGCAGAGTACAACGGAAGGAGTCACTATCTCAGTATACTCAAGACGGCGATGAATGGTAGTGAGACGAGTGGATGTCCCGGGCTCGGATCTGCTGCCAACACTTCCGCCGATAGCAGTCCGCACTACCCAGACAACACGCAGGTCGGCATGTCTGGTTTGGATCCAGTGGATCTGGACTTTCTTATGAAGAAGGGGGCATTTGTCTTGCCGCAGCGGGATACCTTGTAAGGCGTGTACTCAGAAGCTGACCCCTATTATAAACCTATGAAAGCTGACAAGGGGGATTTGAGAATGGTGTTTCTGACTGCGTATTTCCGGTTTGTCCATCCATATTCGCCAGTGTTGGACCCAAACTACTTCTTACAAAGTTATGAGGCAGGGTCCTACTCGCCCTTTCTCATACAGACGGTCCTGACCAGTGCCACTCTCTACGTGCCAACCGATCTCCTGACCTCGTGTGGGTACACAAACGTCACAGAGGCACAAACAGCATTCTTCAACAAGGCATTGCTATTACACGACTTCCAGTGCGAGAAGAGTCAGCTATGCCTGCTGCAAGGATCCCTCATCTTGGGTACAACTGCCTTCTTCTACCCCATTGACCGAGATGTTCAGTACTGGTTCTTCAATGCCGTCCGGCTTGCCACGAAGCTAGAGCTCCAGAAGCTGTGAGCACGCCTCAAATCTTATCTTGAACCGGTGTATCAATTTGCTAAAAATAAGAATCTGCAGTGATCAATTACGTATTGCGGACGCCCAGCTTCGTGGGCTATATAGAAGAATTTGGTGGGTGATTTACGTGAGTTCATCGACTACGCCCAGCGAACAGGAGCTACTTGACCTACCTCTCATTGATATTGACTGATTCGTCCTAGTGTCGAGATGTACTATTGTCATTCCTGGGTATGCAAAGTATGCCTCTAGTCAGCGATAAGAAGAAGCTGCCAGCTTTGCCAACGGCGGAGGATTGGGAGGTTCAGAATGACGACACAAACGCTCTGTTTCCTTCCACGATAACTCGTGAACAAGAGCTTCACTTTATTGATTACTGTAAATTGTCTGTGCTAGGTAGGTTGCAAGTGGTCGACATTTGGACAGCTCCCAACACTAACTTCACAACGACAGGATCGCGGTGGCTTGTCGAAATATCCGATGCAGACCAGGTCGACGGTGAAACCATGTCTCGGGAGTTCCAAGCCTGGAGAAGTCATCTCCGAGGAGCAACCTACGCAGACTACCACCTCACTGACGGTCCCTACCTCACGGCCCTTATCGCAGCCAGTTACCGATTTGAGTGTATCTTGTACAGAACCCTCAAGCTTTATTGGAAGCCTGTAGACATTTCTCGGTATGACTGGGCGCAAGGTAGACTTCGATGCTCAATTTTTGAGCTTGACACGCTATTCGGTAGAGCGCTTGCAAGCGGCGAGCTCAGAAGCCTGCCCATGTCATTGTGCGTCTTCATAGCACAGAGTCCCAAAATCGAGAACGGAAGGCTAACAATTCAATTTGACATGGCAGTAATTCGAGTATACCAATAGCGCTTGCCCTCCACATAGAAGCCGCTTTGGATGCTGCCGAGTCGAACGCGATGAAGTCCATGTCGCTCATTTACATTCGTCAAGGATTACTCATTTTAGAACAGCTCCAGGACTCGCCAGTCATGAAGAGGGTACTGTCCATTTTTCAGTGGGCGCTAAATCGGTTGGATATCGTCCCTGCAGCTATTCAGGACAAGCAACCCAATGACGGTGTTCATGTTGGCATGGAGCAGGACAGATCTGTGGACCGGATGGAAGTCTCGACGGATCATGAATTCGGAGAAATGCTCCATCAGATGGAGCCGTGGTTTGGCGATTTCCTCGGGCTTGACTTCCTCGATAATTTGAGGTCGAGCGGTGACAGGGGATAGACTTCGAAAGTTGTCGAGCATAATAGTCATTCAATTAAAAATCAATTGACGTGGCTTCGTAAAGAAAGACTATACATAAGCCCAACTCACACAATATTGATGTCGATAGTAGGGCAGTTCTTTTGCTCTACACATATTCGTAAATCTGGTATGTCGGTGAGTTTGTTGGCTCGCGGTTATCAATGTCACTGGCGAAAAGGGTGGCATTCCACCATATGTTCATTACGCAGGCTTTGAGAACATAGCCCTGGAGTCAGATGCAATCAACTTGTGGGAATCAGGAACGCGAGAAAGAGTGGTGTGAGCATTGAATTCAACGGTCGGCATCCGTTCTAGCGTCTAGAATATTTGAATCTAGCTATGCATGTCTTCAAACATGAGGGAGTGTCTTGGCGCTACCAGACCAAAAATTGTTGAATAAAAGTCCCACATCCTGCACATTCTCGACCGGGTAAATGCCAGCCAGGATGCCGTCTGGGCGTAAGATAACAATACCACCGCTTCTGGCTGAGATTCCAAAGGTATTGTGTCCCTGTCCGTCGACATCACAGAGCACCAAACTAGCAGGAAGTCCATCAAACACATCCCACGTGCTAGTAATCTTACCAGTGACAATGGTCGTGAAGCTCAACATCTGGGCGTATTTATTGACCAGGTTGAGAGACTGGAGAGTCTCACGAAGTGCAACCACCTCTGCTGTCTGCTGACCAGGGCGACCAGCAAATACGAGCATGTTCCACTGCCCAGTATTCTTGTGGATGATGCTCTGCAGGCGAATGGGAACAGACGGGCCAGGTGATCTGAGAAGAATGTCAGGACAGCGATGACCAACGGCCAAACTGCCGGTAGTGGCCTTGTCGACCAGAACGGAGGGCCCATAGCTGACGCCGAGACCAAGGTTGAAGCTGGCGTTGGACGTCAATATGTCGGCCAGCACCTTGCTCGGCTCGGGTTTGCCGCTGCATCCATTCCACGTCTCGGGCACGTCGCCAGACATCACAGCCGCCAGGTTCTTGTCAATATCAATGACCTTTTGCGCGACGGCACGGCGCTCCTTGGAGTATGTATCGAGCACTGAAGTCTGATACCATCCTCTAAGAACTCCAGCGAGCTTCCAGGAGAGGTTAATGGCGTCGTGAATTCCCGTGTTCATACCCTGGCCGAAGCCAGAGGAGTGTGTGTGGGCAGCGTCGCCGGCAAGGAACACGAAGTCACCCTTCCGCATGGTTGTGGCTACCTTTTGCCTGATCCTGTTTTCGTCGTTAGGGAAGTAACTTTCGTATCTTCTAAGATGTGTACTTGCGTATAAATAGTCCACCAGTCGAGCCGCTCGAATTCAAGCTTGAACGGTTGAACGGACTTGATCGCCTCCTCAAGAGCCTGTTTTTTGCTTAGACCTTGGGGATACTTGGCCTTGAGCGTCGGGGTGAAGACGTATCCGAGGCGGCACACATCCTTATCAAGCCGAGCTATGAAGGCGCTGCCGTACTCGGCGCTATTGATTGTCACAAAGCCAAGATCAACCTCAGAAATGTCAGTCTTGACACGGCCATCGAAACGAACCCATTCGTATGCCGTTTCGTCGCCGATCATTTCAATCTTGGCAAGTTGTCGGACTTGAGATTGTACGCCGTCGGCGCCAACCAGGTATTTGCTTTTAGAAAATTAGCTCAGTTCTTGTGATTGAGACATGTATCAGAAGAAACATACCACCGCACCGAGCGTATTCCATGCTGAGGATGTTGGAGCACGGCTGTGAGATTGTAATTGTCTTGAGGCTTGTCGTCGATTTGATAGTCAACAAGTTCCCATTGGTATTGGACCTCAGTTCCCGAAATTTCCTTGTACTTGGCCGAAAAGACGGCCTGGGAAGACTTTTGCCGAATGTTGAGGATATAGTCGTGAAACGTTCCGGTCATTGCAGTGAACATTGACTGCTGTCCCACGGCTGAGACTCTTTTGCCATCCCGAAAGGTGGCGATTCCCCGTACAGCGTTGCCCTGTTGAACCATTTCTTCGGCGACGCCGACCTGTTCCAAGAGCTCGAGAGTGCGGGGAAAGAGACTAATGGCTCGGCCAAAGGACTCCTGAACCTCCAACTCTCGTTTTTCTTCGTTGCAATGTCAGATTCGCCCAACACCAAAGTAACGTCTGTCAACTTACCAATGATGATTGTGGGAATGCCTTGGTGTGCCAGGCCGAGGGCAGTCACCAGGCCGACCGGGCCAGCACCAACAATGAGGACATCAGTCGACTTGAAATCCATGGTCAATTAAGGTAGTCAGATGAGTTCTGAGAGATGTTTGAATAGATGATGGTAGAAATTGAAGGACTAGAGGGATGGTCTTGATGACAATTTTATATGTGAGCGGGAAGCACGCGGTCTTCAATCAACTGGAGCAAGTCAATCACCGTCTGCAACTTACGTTGCATCGTTGACCGGAATTCGGGATTATAGTGATAGACCGAAAATACCCTAGACAGTCTCTTCCTTTCGCTTGATATACGGGCGTCTCTCCCTATGCAGCTGCCGCCTTGCTCGATGTCGATACTCCGTCGATAGATGAAGGTAACACAATTCCGGCGCCGAAAGAATTTGTGGGTCGTGTTCGGCACCGAACAATGAGAATCCATTCTCCAACCGCCCGTCGCGCCTTGGCCGTCCCATCAAACCGACCATCATTCTATCTCTGTACATAAACTCTCGACAGGGATGAAGCAAGGTTCGCCAGACACAAACGACCCCAAAATTCAATGGGTCGCTTTCACAATTTGGGGGACTGAAATACGCGGGAAATGGGGCACGTGTGTTTTGACTTTCAGCTCCATGTCTCAACCGTCTCAAAACGTCGCTCCAAGTTCCATGGAACGCCACAAATCAAACCAAGAAAGCCGCCGCCCGTTGGCTTGGCTTGGCCCAGGCTTGCTCGGTAAAAGTCAAAGTTCGTTGTTAACACCTAACCGCCTTTTCTCTTAGCCTTGCACCGCCGGCCCTTACCTCACCTCAACTCCAACTGGTGAGATTGTGCTATGAGATTCTCAGTAAGGGGCTTGCGACAGCGGTACCAGTAGACGCTTCCCTCCTTACGGACTACAGCCTTTCCTTGTCGCATCTTTCTAGGTCGCAATTCCTGTTTCTTTCTCGGTTTCGATAGACGGCAGGCACTCTCATTTCACTGCCATCGCCAAACCGTTTCCATGACTCGAACGTAGCCGTATCACACAGTCACTCTCCCTTGCCTGGCTTCCATCATCGAGAAGGCCTCATCACCGACCCAAGATCATCACGCCGCCTCTCATTCCCGCGTCTCTCCACTCACATATACTCACACAGACAGACACAACCATTCGTCATGGGGAGGACATCGTACCGCTGGACGCGGGTGCGCTCCATCGTCCTCACCCTCATCACAATAACATGTGTCATCTACATCCTCGACACAAGATGGCTACACCCGCGTACAGAAACAGCCATGCTAGAACGCTTCATGAACACAGAAAGCCTCGTCCGGCAACCGGCGACACCAAAATCCAGCTTCGACTGGTCCGCCGTCGAGCTGAAGTACCCGCCCCAAGACCCGCTCACCCGCGTCCCGAACGGCGGCCGCGGCTCCCTGCCCCGTGTGCAACACCGGTTCGCCTCCGAGTCCCTCTCCGCTTCCCGGCGCCGGGAAGCCCGTCGACAAGAAGTCCGACGCCTCTTCCAAAAGAACTGGGCGAATTACAAAGAGTACGCCTGGATGAAGGACGCCCTCAACCCAGTCTCAGCCACCGCAAAGGACCAATTCTCCGGCTGGGCCGCCACCCTCGTCGACTCCCTCGACGTCCTCTGGATCATGGGTCTTAAGCCGGAATTCGAAGAGGCTGTCGCGGCCGTCGCGAAGATTGACTTTAGCATTTCCACATCGGACCGCGTAAACACCTTTGAGACAAACATCCGCTACCTCGGCGGTCTCATGGCCGCTTACGATCTCAGCGGGCGCCGCGTGCTTCTCGACAAGGCCACCGAGCTTGGCGATTTACTGTACGGCGCCTTCAATACCGAACACCGCATGCCGGTAGACTTTATCAACTTTAACGACGCCAAGTCAGGCAAGGGCCTCATCGTGGAGGGCTCCGTCGTCTCCGCGTCCCCCGGCACCCTATCCCTCGAGATGACGCGCCTCTCCCAGCTCACCGGCAACCCGAAATACTACGACGCCGCCGCAAAAGTAATGGACCTCTTTCACGACGGCCAGCAAAAGACGAAACTCCCGGGCATGTGGCCCATGTTCGTCCACATGGCCGACCGCGACGTCGTCACGGGCTCAACCTTCACCATCGGCGGCTGCGCCGACTCGCTCTACGAGTATCTCCCCAAGATGATCGCCCTCCTCAACGGCGCGGAACCCAAATACCGCACCATGACGGAGAACTTCCTCAAAGCGGCCAATGAGTCCCTCTTTTTCCGACCCATGCTCCCCGGCGGTGAAAACGTCCTCATCTCGGGCAACGTCGACGTCGACGCGGGTGGCAATCACTCCCTCGACCCGGAAAGTGAGCACCTATCCTGCTTCATTGGCGGCATCTACGCCCTCGCAGGTCGCGTGCTTGGAAAAGAGGAGTGGGTTACCGTAGGCGCGAAGCTGACGCTAGGGTGCTACTACGCTTACCAGGCCATGCCAACGGGCATGATGCCGGAGCGGTACAACATGGTCAAGTGCGACCGGCGGGACGCTTGCGCGTGGGACGAGGACAAGTGGGACGCGGCGAAGAAGCTGAAGACGGAGTACAAGGAGCACTTACCCAAGGGCTTCACGACGGCCAAGGACCCGCGGTATATCCTCCGGCCTGAGGCGATTGAGAGCGTGTTTGTGCTCTACCGTATCACGGGCGACCAGGGATTTCAGGAGGCGGCCTGGGAGATGTGGAAGGCTGTGAGTAACGGGACGCTCGTCGAGCACGGCAACGCTGCGGTGTTGGACGTCACGCAAAAGCAGGACCCGCTGCCCAAGGAGGATTACATGGAGGTGAGTTTCTCCGTTATTTTCTTCCTGATTCTTGATGCTCTTCTTCCCGTTTGGATTCTCCTGCCATGTCAGCATGCCTTTTGGCAGGGATGAGTTTTCCGTTCTAAATCGGGAGATTGCGAAGGGGAGAGAACAGAGAGAGAGAAAATTCCGCTTGACTGACACTGCATGACCACCCATTTAGAGTTTCTGGCTGGCGGAGACACTGAAATATTTCTACCTCGTCTTCTCACCGCCCGACCTCATCAGCCTCGACGACTACGTGCTGAACACAGAAGCGCATCCCTTCCGGAGACACCTTTGAGGTCCGGAGAAAGGGACACGGTTGGAATTAAGGGAAGGGGGCATCTTCCACTCGCCCCGGACTTCATGTCCCGAACGCTTGGGTTTGGATGAAAAGGAGGTGCCCGCACAGCTCTGCTGATCTGTGCTCTCTTTTATCCCACCGGCGGAGTCTGATACATGGCATCCTAAAAGCGGTACTGGACGTGAGATGGGTTTACATATAACCGGGCTGGTGTATCCCTACAGAGTATGAGCGAATAGATTCGGCGAGTAATGAGATTTTGAGCTTTGATACCTAGCTTCGTAGTGGAAGATGATAGTGAGCAGAAGATCAGCCTATGAATCTGGTGTCTTTACGATATTACGAGTCAACCGCTACTGATCCATGGTGAAGCGTCATGGCTGAGCGGCAATGATGACTGATCGCTATTCAACCATGCTAAATCGCCACCCTAGAAGTAAACTTCGTTCTTCATAAGGCTCATCGCCCTTGGCTACTGTCATGAATGGTATTGTGAAGCAACGGCTCTCTTGGAATTCCTGCACCGTACGTCAACCGAAGCAGCCGCAGTAAATCGTGACGAACCAACTCATCACGGGTGTATTTTGCCACTCTTGGCAGCCATGCCACGATCATCGGGTCTGTTTACCCAGATCTAGACGTCCGTCGAGGAGCCAACCTAGCAAGGATGACCATGAGTCGAAAACATGTCTTGGCGGGTAAATACTAGGAGATCGCAGGAAAGATGAGCACTTTGGGTGAGACAGGCCGGTAGTATGTAGGCTTGGACCGAGCGGACGGGGATAGTGCGTGTTGTGTGGTGTAATGGTACGGACGTTATTAATTACTATGGTCTTGGAAATTCGGCCTCTGGTTGATCTCTAGAAGCTTGTTTTCTAATCGAGTTCTATGCGGCTCGCCTGCTGGAAAAGGGGATCTCTGGGCGTACTATATCGTAGACCGCTTCGTACAGCCCTGCTCTGCTTTTTCGCAAGAGTCTGTAGAATAGAGGCTTGTCTCTGAGATTGAGTAGAGAGTCCAGGAGCCTGGGGTTTCACGACTGCCCAAAGGTTCGTGAAGACTAATCATCAAATGAACACCTCCTTTCCCAACGGGGAGAATATTGCAGGCAGGAAGAAGAACAAAACTCTAAAACCCTGTATGCTACCATTCCATATGTCCACTGACCTGGTTTCATTCGTACTGCCGTGCCTCATTCTCGCTTGTGCACGTCAATCTGTCAAACCCAAGCAGACGGATTAGCCCACATGCCACCACACTACAGACACAGACTACGGATACACACAAATGTCAAAGCCACGCCTAGCTCCAACGCATTCTAGAGCCCAAAACCCCAATGAGCAAGGCCTGTAAACCGGTTGACTCCACATAACAACCATAAATAACATGCGACTTCCCAGTTGCAATATGAGGCTTCAGGATCTTATCTCGTCTTGGTACTCGTTGGGGCACGGCCGTCCACTACGAGTGACTTACTCGCGATCCCTTACCCCGGGACGAGGGCGCATGAGTCGTGTAGCAGTGCCGTAGCCAAGGCCCTCTGACGGGAGAACAACGCTAAGCCACTGGGGAAGTGCGTCGTTTGCCCCCCTAAATTCCCCATTCTTGTTGCCTCTCTAGCCTATGGAATCTGTCGTTGTACGAAAGTTTAGATTTCAACGGGCGCGAAGCACCTATTACGGATAATTGCCAACTTACAGAAAGAACGCCAAGACATGAGAGTCTAGAAGAAGGAAAAGACTCACGCGACACATTACCACGTCCATCAAATCTCCCAAGAGTAAATTCCCCGGCTGATTGTCCGTTAAATTACCCGTCCACCACTGCCATGAGGCAGCAGAACAGGCTAGCCAATGCGCCTGTAGAGATGTATCCGTATGAATACTCCATACCTGAGCGACTTTGAACTGAGCAGCTCAGCAGCCCACCCAAGTTACTAAGGATACCTAGCCAACGGAAGGGCCGCCAAGAGGTGGATTGGAAACACCTCATCGCCAAGAGCACTGATCAAGCTCATATACTCGATGGGCTTTTAATAGCCCCAAACACTGCCCGCGCAGGCGCCAAGACCACCCCCAAGCAAAGCCGGTGCAGCAGCAGTAGCGAACTTGCGGACAGCATGCCGGTCCCCGTCCCTCACTACCTTACTCCGTGAACTTTCCTCCGTACTCAACCAAATAGGCTATCCAGAGTCGACAGTATCGGATTTTGCCGTACGCCAAGTAACGCAGAACGGACCTCAAGGTGAACAACCTAGGCCACCAGCCAACCCACACTACCACAGTACTCCTCCGTACTACACTTGTAAATTAGCCCGGCCTTTGAGGCATAATCATGTGCCTGACCACTTTACTACTACTCACTGACCAAGTGGTTCAGGACTGCTCCGCTACGGATACCAGCACACTCGAAAATAGCATCCTCCTTGTAACCACATCGAGCAGATCTCGAGCACTTTCCAAGAGGTTGCAGACTCTTGGTTGCTCTTGGTTAGCCAAAGTCTTGGTATTCCTCTTGCAAAGACACCCAGCCAGCCTAGCAAGTCTGCGGAAGAGGGCGGTGTCAACCTCAACAGACCCTTCATCCATGCCCCAAAGGCCTTGGCATAATGTTTCCAAAGTTTATCACCTCCATCCCGTTGAATTGACTCAAGATGCAGTTTCCGTGTAAACTGATGTATAAGAAGCAAGTGATCATCCCGCCTTTTCCCAACTTCTGTCATCCCATCACCACCATCATCATCATCCCACCTCACCCACACAACCTTCAACTCAAACTTCTCCCACAACCCATTCAAACTCCTCCCCCACCTTAACTCAAAACCCACACCACAAAACCGCCAACATGCGCGCCGTCTTCGCCATCATCTCCCTCCTCGCCGCCACCGTCGCCGCCCGCTTCGACGGCCCTTGCAACGACACCCACTGCGGCGAGGCCAACGTCAACTGCGAGGCCGAGGGCCGCATCTGCGTCGGCTTCCCCAGCGTCGATCCCGAGAAGCGCCTCGGATGCACTTGCAGCATTGTCTAAAGACATAAGTTTTCAATGTTATTTACGCATGGTAAGTTGCTTCAAGTTCGGTCCACTCTCTTCTGAGTTTGGAGAACTGTATGACTGACTCGATTCCCATAGATCAGCATTTCATAAGGTCTCCCATCTTGGAAAGACTTGGAGTTTTTTTTAGTTTTTTTTTGGGAAATACACAGGAACGAAGGAAAAAGATGAACCCATCATGACATGACAAAATACACAAGAGGCGCTCGGAGAGAAGCGATGGAACCCACACAGCATGATATCCAAACCTGAACAAAAAAAAAACAGCATAGAAAATTCACATACTACTTCTTCCTGTCCGCAACGCAAAAAAAACATTTCTTCCATTTCTCAAAACCCATGAACCAACTCATGATCGCCATCTGCCGTGACGTCCGTCCGTCCTTCCCGGACGCCACACCCGCCGCCGCTTCCAACCAGCTAACATTTCTAGAATTCGCATAACCCGCCAAGACCCCAGACACGACTCGAGGCGCTCGTCTCCCGCAGCCAAGACTCGTCCACCTCACCACCACCACCACCCCAACTCCCTCCTTCACACCCCTTTTCCCCATCCATTTCCTACCGCAGTATACCTCACATATACCTCCAACCCATACAAACCCATCCATTCGTGATTCCCGTCAGAAATCCCCGACGGCACTCCTCGGTCCCACCGAATCGGCATCCTCCCCCATCCATCCCCGCCCCCCGAGACCCGAGGGACCCGAATGCACCCAGCACAAAACCCACTTTGCCGAGATCGATCGGCACCGGGATGAAGAGTGCTGGGCACTTTACAGCAAGGCATACAGCACCAAAGGACTTGACAGAGGCCCAGGTTATCATCGCTGACACCGCCACTGCTAAGAAAGTAAGACTTAGTGCTGAGCCCACAATATCGACGGATTGAGAGGGAGAGAGAATGAGAGAGCCTCATAGGGGAAAGATTACATTCGGGACCGGTCTCTGTATCGGTATCTCAATCGCATCTTGAGAGATGTGAAATTTGTCGCAATATCAACACCCTCGAATCGCTCGCATATCCTCACGCCTTAATGCTTGCAGAGTTGAAAGTTCCCATCCAAGTGTGTAGACATTGAAGAGACTAAAAGTACTAGTACTAGATAACAGTACATACAAATGAAATGAGACCATGATCTCATACCAGAGACTCCCCATGGTTCCCGTTTTCCCCATTTTCTTTTTTCAAAAGAACAAGTCTCGCGTATGGTATCATCCCGCTCCCAAAAACTTCGTCCCTGGACGAACGAAAACTCCAAAAAAGCCACAGGCTACTATACAGACGGAACAGATGTAATACACGAAGAAAAACATAAGATATCGGGTGATAAGAAGAAGAAGAAGAAGGGGCTCACATCTTACCCCATCCCCTAACAAAACCCCTCTGCGCTCCATTCACTCTCGCCAAGATCCCAAGCCCAACATCCTCACCTCCACCCCACCCGCCCCCGCGCTTGACGTTGATGCCGTACGCCATATCCCCGTCTCCCCTCACCCCATTGACGTCTTCTGCGCCCCTACGCTTCCTCACGCGCTCATACCCAATCTTGAACCCCATTGAGTGGCTTCCATCCAAAAAGCTGCGCTTCATCTCCTCCGTCGCCTGCCATTCCGCTCCACGGCCCAAGAACCCGAATACATTGCCGTCGGCCAGCAGCGCCGCCACGGAGGAGATACTACACGGGTTCCGTGGCAGGATGGTATCCGTCCCGGGCGTAAGGAGCCACGCCACGAGCGTCAGGGCGACGAGGAGACCGAGCACGGACTGGATGATGCGTGTCGAGGCGGTGTCCTGCACCAGACGGCGCAGAGAAGTGACGGACGTCGACTCGAGCATGGCGGGGATGGTCTGCTGCGCCGTCACGTCCGGAATGCGACGACGGGAATTGACGTTGAGGTTTTGGGCGCGCAGGATGCCGTGCTGCCGGACGATGGCGTCCGCTACGAGACCGCTCTTGCCCAGGCCCGGGTCGCCTAGGTTCCCCGCGGGCACCGCGAATCGCGATGTGACGAGGGAGCTGAAGAACGGATCGAGCTGGTTGCCCGTGGTGAGGTTGGCCAGGAGTCCGTACTGCAAGGGGAGCAGTCTTAGCTTGATTGGCTTGGCGGTGTTTTCTTGGACGACGGGCGGGTAGGTTGTGTCCACGTGTAGTGAGGCACCCGTGAGGCGGATCTTGGCCGTTACAGTCTCGAGCGTCTCATTGCAGCCCATGGCTGAGATGTAGCCCACCTGCATGGGTGTGCTATCGGATAGCTGGCCCCAGACATAGGTGAAATCGGAGCATTGCGACGATGCAGCGGACCGTGGGGTAGCGACGCCGAAGACGGAAGATGGAGAGACTCCAGGTGGTAAGACGGCGTTGGACCGGATCGATGGGTCGAGGCACGGCTCACCGGCGATGTTGACCTTCATATCCTGTGAGAACTGATTCGGCAAGTCAGGAACAGTAAAGTTTGTATTGATCTCGGATTGCGGGTAGAGTCTGCAGTCGAGCCGCGAGCGAAGGGCAGGGACCGTTGCGATGATGGTGCCGGCGCCGTCCTGCATATCGAGGGGCTCCGATAGCTGCAGACTGTTGAAGTTGAGGTCCTCAAAGGTAAATGACGGGAAAGTCAGGTTAGCGTCGAGAATCAGGGAGGCCAGAAGAGTATCAGTGGTACAGGTCGGACAAGGTGAGGACGCATTGATGAAGCTGTCGAGGGTCTGAAGGTTCACGGGCCGCGTAGATGGGATCGGTGTCGTACTATATAGAGCCCCAGAAAATGTCGCTAGTAGCGACGCGACGATCAGAGCGGTGGTGGTGAACACGACAGCGATATTTCGCGTCTTGACGGCATCGAACAGGATTCTATGCTTGGACTTGTCCATGAAGTCCAGGTGAACCGTCGTTTCAAAGGATCCCCCTTCTTTGAGCTTCGCGTATGGCGCAAGACACCTCGTCGCGCAGTCCGCGGCGGCGAGGTATAGCACCACCAGACCAAAAATGACGCCAGTCCCTGTTGTCCATAGAAAGTGCTTGTCGGTATTTGCCTTGGTCGTCGCGATGCCGGCGTGTGCATTGGAAATACGAAGCACAACCTCGAGTGCAACAATCATGCCAACCATAGTGATCACGGCTGCGAACCTTGCCCATGGGTTCAGCGGCAGCGGGTGCTTCCAATCGGCGTTTCGTACAAACTCGACCGGCTGGTTCTGAGGGGGCGGAGCACCACCAAAGATCTTGAAGTATCCCCTCGCCTCCTTCTCGGCCTTCTCGTAGGGCTCTACGCCGGTGTAGTAGTTCGTGCCGAGCAGCTTTTCTCGTACGACTGATGTGTCGGCAGCACCCGTGCCGCGCAAACACTGAAGAAGCTGGCGACTATGAGCGAGGAGGGTGGCCATGTTGATAATGGTGTTTGGGTCGCGGGGTAGAAAGCCTTTTGCTGGCGCGAGGGCAATTGCAGCCAGCACTAGCACGAGAACGAAGCCTAGGAGTCCAGACAGGAGGTGCGCTGGTATCTGGCGAACGTTGAGTCGCTCCCCGATGATGATGGCTGTACCGGTGGACTTTTCTTGCGTCTCGCCCATCAGTGAGCTGCGTGCTACTAGAGCAGTGTACTGCTTCCAATACGCTGTGGAGATCTGGGTCAGGTTGTCCGTCTTCAGAAACGTCTCGATCGGAGGAAGCCCGTAGTCCTTGATCTGCATAGCGACAGCCGAGTTCATGACGGCGTCGGAAGCGACAATGGCAATGCCGGGGTACCGGCTGTTGATGTTTGGTATTGCTGCGAGGATCTGCGAATCAGTGGGATAGGAGTTGAAGTGCCCTTGGACAATGTCCCAAGGGTGGACCAGCTCGAGAGTTTTGTTCGCTGCCGAGCGGTTGCGTTCGATCTTGATGAGTTGCGTATTGTTCTTGGTGACATGAACCCTGGTGAGGAAGTATGATGGACGGCAGATAAGTGCTGCGGACCTTGAAACCGCACCCGAAATAGGCACGTTGAAAACGTCACTCTCCGTCGGTACACTGGATTCGTTAATTTGGATGGCTCCCGTCATGACGACGACTCTCCCATCATCGGGGGAGGGCGAGTTCCCGCACATCCCAGCCTGGAATGCCATGAAGAAGGTAGGAAGCGTGAAGCCAATCAGCGCCATATTTGGGATGGTTTGCGTCAAGGTGCAACTGGGAGTCGATATGGTGGCGTTCAGCTGGACATCCGAAGCTTGGATGAACTGGACACCAGTCAAGGTAAACTGTGCCGGCTCGCACTCGATTTCGGATTGGAAGCCGTCGACGTTGGTTCTCAGCTCAGCAGTCGCGGGCAAGTCCGCAGAGAATGACTGAAAGGCGAACTCTTTTGAAGTGCCGTCCGGGAAGTTGAGACCTTTCGTCTGGAGGGCAGTCATCGTGAAGAAAGGTAGGGCACCAGCATTCCGTAGCCCAGTGGGATCGTTCACAAACGTGTTATGCAGGTTCAAACTCGCACCCCGAGCAGTCACAATCTGGAACGTTGGGCTGACGAGCGCCACAGCGATGACGATGATGATTTTGAGCGTCAGACCGACAGACGCCGTGGCCGCAACGAGCCAGTCTCGATTCTTTGTCGCTTTCGCAATGGTCCACGGCTCGAACATGAAGACGTAGTCGACCATCAGGGTCCTGTCCACGCTCGCAGGTCCTTTTGCCATCCGGAGCCACGGGGCGCTCGCTTTTGCTTGGTGTTCTGGTCTCGCCCATAGCGCGGCGATGCATGTGAAGATGAAGGCTGAACCGTACTGCCATAGATATCTGAATCCATGGTCTGGTGAACCGAGTCCTCCTCTTTTGTTTGATAGGTCCAACACGGCTTCTACGGTAACCATCAGTCCGGCGAAAAGGACTGCGAACGAGCTGAGGACCCTCCTTTGGAGATAGAACGGTCGGTACGGAAGAGCGACGTCTATTAACCCATTTCGTTTTCGTAAGTCATCGGAATCGGCCGTGGTTGGTGGTGTCGAGGCGAGTGGTCGTGGTGGTTGAACTCGTTGTATTCGTGGGGCCGGTGGTAGTTGTTGCGCAGGCGGAGGCGGCCTCACTCCGGGCACCGCTAGTCTCTGAGCATTTATTGGAGGAAAAGTTGCCTGGCGAGGCGTTAATGAATATCGATGGTTGGCCCTCGGCGGTTTCCCTGGACTGCTGATGGTGATTTCTGGCACCGGCAGCGGTCTCGGTCGATCGGCATCGCTGCTGCTACTTGATGAAGACGGTTCTATTATTGAGGGGCGCGGCGTGCTAAAGGAACGGGAGTGACTAGTATACGGCCGGGCGACGATGTCTCCTTGCGGCAGCGGCGGCGGCGGCGTATTTGATTCTGCTACATAACGATGATAGGAGTCCATGCCATTCGTGGTCTGCTTGCCTGCTCTGCGGGGCACATTTGCCCTGGCCCTCGCCTCAGATGCCATGGATCAGAGAAGAGGAAGGCGAGCGAGCGAGACGGTCTTCTCGAGCGACGGACAAGTCCAGTCGGAGGAGGGGAGGGAAGGGAGACGGGGTCGACCGTCAACTGAAGTTCATCGTCCCCCGAGTGTCGTTGTGGTGTTTGATGTCCCAAGCGGCTCAGTTTGTTTTGTTTCTCGTTGGGTCGCCCCCTTAGCGGGAGGAAACGAAGATCAATGGTCGGGGTGTTTGTCGATCTTCTGGATTAGAATTGGGATTAAGAGCGCGCTTGTTGCGAGTAAATTGAGGCGAAGAACGGTAGAAAAGAGCGGAGAAGGCGGGCAGGAAGATGGTGGTGGCCAGCGAAGCCAGCAAGCCAGCACAGAACGAGAGTGTGTGGTGGCAACGACCTAGCTTGTCTGATGAACTGGAACCTTGGATGAGCCGCAGGGAATAGTTGCCCGGCGCCGTGTTACTCTATACGTGCACTTTTGCATGAATGATGTTTGGGAATGCGGATGGGATTTTCTCTCAAGTCGGCCTCTCATTGACTGGTACCAGCCCAGGGTGAGGCAAGTCGGTAACAGTCGAATAAGAATATTAAGAACAAGGGAAGGGGGGAAATAGAGACCCAATCTAAGGGCTCGGAAGGAGAAAGGAAGGGAACAGCCTTGCTCCAACCCCGCGGACGATCACAGGTGGTCGCATGATATAAGAGAAGTAACCAGGAACGCTTCTTAGAAGGGAAGAAGAGAAGAGGGGTGGAGGGGCAGCGACGGGCGGGGAAGACACCGCTCGGCTGGTACGCCAGTCAGTCCTGCCAGCCTGCCCATCAAAGATCGTGCCGAGCTGTCTTGTGTCGCTGTCTTCTGTCACCTCGGCGTTCCAAGTTCTCTGATGGTGGCTTTCATCCCAATACGGGGTTAGGAGGGACATGTTACTGCCGCTTGGCAGACAACGACTTGACGAGTTTGCCAGGAAACTTCAAGCACGGCCTAGGGAGACAGACGTGCAGAGGCAGCGGGCCAGTTTCAGAAGCAGGTTGGTCGGGCGCCCGTGGGGGATGTGAGGCTGGCTGAACGGGCGAGGTTGAAGAGGTTGAAGACGATTGGGTGGAGGGCATAAGAGGTCGTCGGGAGAGGCATTGGAGGCTAACGGGAGGTTAATGTTATTGGTCCCGACTGGGCACGGTGAAACTGCCGCGTGTGGCGGCTGTGTGACAGAGTGTCACAGACCCCGGTTTCGACGTGTGCTTGTCTTATCCCCTCGACTCCTGTCCACTGTATTAGAGTGTCCAGACTAGGAAAAAAAAGAGTCCACTTAGACTTCTTCTTCTTCTTCTTCTGCACTTCTTCCCACCTGTACAGTATTAGAGTATGCTGCCCAGCTGCTGTGCGGCGAAACGAACAGACCCGGCCATGTTGCGAGCTGAGTGTTCTTCCCTCTCCACCCAACCAACAGAAGAAAAACGTGGAGACTGGAGAGTGATCTGCAGCTAGCAGGGAGATGCAGACGAGCGTAAAAGAGACCACGGGCGTTACCAAGGGGGTGCTGATGGTTTAGTTTGTCTAGAGTTTCCTTTCGATAGGAAGTCGCCCAATTGGAAACGTCAGGAGAAACCACAATCATCATCGAAAAGGGGTTCGATACCGTCCGGATGTATTGACTGAAAGCAGTGGCAGTTCGCGCTCAACTCACCGGACAGAGAATCGTGCCCTGAGATGTCCCGAAAAGAAAAGATGAAACAGGAACATCTCATCCGGCGCACTCGAGGAGATGAGGTCGGATCGGGATGGATGATACGTACCGATTTATCCGATGCCCCGTCCTCCCCCGCCGTCTCGGTGTCCTTGAAGCAGTACGTACCTGCAAGCTGCAGCCAAACCTGCGAGCAAAGCTTACCTCACAGTCGAGTCCTCAGTTACTTACTTCACTACTCAGAGTGCTCCATAGCTGCACATCATACTGCAGAAAGACGCACCTCGAAATAGTCCTCGTCGTACTCGCATCCTCAATCGAGTATAACCGTCCGAACGGTTATGAACCAGAGTATGCAGGTAACTGATCTAGGTGAATCACATTGACAGCACGGTCAACTCTAACGCCCGGTATTGAGCGTTGAGCGACTCTACATGCGGGTAGGCGAAGGGATACTACAGTTACCGCCATCTTCATCATTTCCCTAGCTACCTCGATAGCTCATCCAATCGAACTCTGAATTTTCGGTATCGCTTTGCAGCTCCTACAAGAACCGCATAGACTGCTACCCTTAAACTTCTCCCCAAGTTTTCGCACCGTTGCAAACAGCTAGTGGGCAGAAAAGAAATTGTATCAAGAGAGTTGTCCTGCCCACCCCTGATGTTTGCAATGTGTTGGCCACCCGAACCAACCAGTTAGAATAAAAAGCCATCTCGTCGGCTCTCTCATTGATCCGCGTATCCCACGGGCAGAGTTCGCCATCTTCGCTGCCATGCCTCGCCTGGGTTCCGAGTCCCGAGTAATCTGCCCGACGGGATCCCTTCAATCCAAGTCTCGAACCCCCAAGAACATGGACCACCCACAAGAGTTCGCCAGTCTGCTGCGCTGGTCCAAACCTTTTCTTCCCACAGGGCTGACCGTCGCAGCCGATAGAACCGCTCGCCACCCATCCAGTGCCTACCGTGCTACTTACCCCGCGGGGTGACACGTGCATACCGAACCCGACACCATCGCCACTTGATAGTTCGGTCGGGCGTGAATAACTATGACAGTCAGGCCATTTCCCAAAGGCTTTGACACCCCGTAGTTGGACGACAACAAGACGATACCGCATTGCTGACTCGTCGTCATATATCCAACTCTGCTCAGCTTCTCGCGCCATGGCTATCGTGCCCATCTCCATCAGAAAGGATAGGCAGCACAACACCTAGATAGTGGGCAGGCTGGCCGATGATCATGTCCGATGAGAACCGACGAGGACCAAAGCATTCCGAAAATGTGGAGATCGGATTGACTGACAACCATGAGACACTCCTAAGAATACACACACACACTAGGTATACATAGTAAGGTGAACTTGACCAGACCATGGTGACACACGGCCTCCGGCAGTCAATCATCTGTGTTTCGTTTCTTCTCGGCCCCCTCTTCCGGCCCCTCGTCTGGCCCCTCGTCTGGCCCCTCGTCTAAAAAATCCTGACTGCTTTTGTACAAGATAGGATGCAAATGGTAGGTAACGAAAATCAGTCACCCTGGGTATATAATGCGGAAGCCCTAAGTTGTTTCGAACGAGGGCGACCGTCGCAATCGTGCCATCATAATGCAGTCGTTGCCCGCAAAACGCCAAAATGCCTGTGTTTCGCCAGTCGTTAGGTGGTAATGTGTTTCCTCCCTCTCAAACAGCACAGGGCGGCCTCTGAGTGCTCCTGCGCTCCTGGTCGATACTCTCTTCCCTCGGATCGTTGCGGCGGTGGAGATTCCCTGACTCGCTGGAGCCGCTGGGGTTTCGCTGGGTCTCGCTCGATCTCTCGCCCCACGCCGGGTTTCCTGGGGCATCATCGGCCGTGGAGGTGTCCCATGATTCGCTCGCTTCGCCTGACCCTCCTGTTGCTGAATGTCATCGAGCAAAGCTCGCAGCATCGTGACCATGTTTGTGTGGTTGATGTTCCAATTCTCGTTTCCCATCATCAAATTCCGTATTTCTTCGGGTTCCAGCTACGGGCGTCGATAATATTCTTGGCTTCAGCCTTGACAAGAAAGCCTGCATCGCAGTAGGACATTTCTGGCCGGGCAATTTCGGGCGGGTAATGCTAGGTCAGCCGTCAGCGATAACTCCGAAAAGAACAGTCTGATGTGAACATACCAGTCGCATGCAGCACGCGTCCACCCAGCCTGTCGCGCAAGTTCCCAGATCCTGTCCAAACTTTGTCTTGTATTTTCCTCCGTTGGCCAATTCGCAGTCGGTGCCTACTCTCAGCTTGTTGTCGATTGAGCCCTTACAGCAATGCGGCTGCAGGGTGATGAAGGGACTGGCGAGCTTGTCGGCGGGCGGGTACGGATAACAGTGGAACGGCTCACTCTGGGCGAGGATGACGGGTAGGCCGAATATCAAGAACAGCGTGACCAGAAAGGCCGAGAAGCCCAGCGGGCGATGCATCTTGGCAGGGATAAACGAGTGTATGCGAACGACGATGGCAGAGGATGCGACGGCGGCGAAGAAGCGCGCAATGTGGTGATGAACCTTTTGAAGGACTTCGTAGATGGGCCGGGGGAGATGTTGGGCCAATAGGTGTAGATAAGTGGCCGTAATGGCGAGGATTGGGGGTGGCGACGACGACGAAGGTGGCATTCTAGCTACCTAAATGGACTTCTATTAATGGGACCCTCTTTGTTCGACGAGACTAGCTGACAGGCACGCAGCCAGATAGATTGACTGCGACCAGCAATACCTAGGTCAGAGTGGGAGCGGGTCGCCAGAAGGCCTGTTTGAGTGGAACGTCGAGGTTGCAAGGGCGAGCCAGGCAGGCCGCAGCGTAAGCAGGTGTGTGCAGGCTGACTATCCGTACTTTCCAGGTTCGACTGGGATCTCTACTCCGTAGGTCACCGTAGGTATATCGCGGAGGGCGATACGACGTGGACTTTTTTCCCTCGAAGAACCAAATGGGCCACGGGATGGAGACTTGGAGGGTGTGCTAGTGCTGCTTGATGACGCCGGGACTAGTGAGTGGCCTCTGCGCGGAGGGGAGGGGAGCGTCGCAGTGTTCTGAGCTTAAAGTGTGGCGCTGCCGGGACTATCGCCGTTGAGGAGGGTGCGAAATGGGCAGCGAAGTGACGGTGGACGCGTGGAGGGGTGGTGAGTGCAGCCAGGATGTGGTTGGTGTTTGATAAGACGTTTTGCGGAGTACAGATGCTTTCTCGAGGAAATCGAAGAGCGTGCGACAACGGGAACGACTGAAGCGTTTACAATGACTGGAAGTCTGGCAGAGGAGGATGACTTCGATGGAGGGAGGATCGCTGGAGTGTGGTCGAGTGCCGGAGAGTTTCGCGTTGGGGAGGGCGCAATCCAGGGAGATGGGACCGAAGTGGAAACGGTCTGATGGAGGGGGATCGTAGTTCGATGAGATGCTTGACGTTGCCGAGTTGCGATGAAAGAACGCGCAATCCACCCTCTGCGACAAACGGGAGAGACAAACAGCGAGAGGCTACTGTATGAAGGTTTGCAGGTGTGTGTGTACGGATGTCGCGTTTGAAATGAGGATCAAGTTTGCAAGAGTCACGAACATTGCAGAGAAGGAGGGAAGGAAAGGAGCGCAGTCACGTTTGTTTGGATGAACCCCAAAGAAGAAGCCACGGCTAAAGGTGGCCGTCAGCCAAGCATTCACGGCAAGCGAGAAGGAGCCAAGGCTAAGCTAATAGGAAAGAACCACTGCATTGGGGCCACGATGGGAAGGATTGGCGGCGACACAGAAGGAAGGAAGCGAACACACGAGGTACCTTACCTCAGGGAGGAAAAAGCATGAGGTAGGGAAAGAGCAGCGGTCGTGAGGCAGGCACGCAGGCATGGTGGAGAGAGGTTGAGAAGGCAGGAGCACTTCGTACCTTCCCCCAAGTCCCCAGGGCGAGACCGGGCGACAAAGGCTGGGCGCGCATAAGACGAGAAGGAAAGGAAGAAGAAAAAAAAAAAAAAAAAAAAAAAAAAGAGCAGGGACGAAAGTGCGGTAAGGTACTACAAACAGCCGAAAAGGGACGCATTGAAAAGTCTCAAACGGCTGCCTGCTGGTGTCTCTTTTTCTGAATGTTCTTTTCAGCCATGTTCCGCGATTAAAATTGCGCCAGTAAGCACCAACACGAATTAGCAAACCAACTGCAAAGTTGATCCAGACACTCCACACCATACAATGTCACAATGCGTCGTCTACCGGGAACTTATTATACCTGACCAAGACTCCTTCGAGTCTCCAACGCAGAAAAGGCCCAATTTGATGCGCATTTCCCAACCCGTCGTTGCCAGGTAGGCATCGGACTAGGGCCCATTTGGAGCTCTCGCATACCTCTGCCCGCTTAGCCGGGCGTTTTCCCCCGCCTGTTGCGCCGCATGCGAGCCGCCAGTGTCCATCGTGCGCCATGACATCGTGGAAAAAAGTGACATTGGGATTTGCGGCACAGCAAGCAGGGTCCAGCAGTTTTTCTTTTCTCGCCGTTTTTTTTTCTTCCTCCTCTCCCTGTGCTACCTTACACGAAAGTTCTTTTCAGCCGGTGGGTGGATAATCTCACTCAACTCAAAAAAGAGAGGATCATCTCACCCAAATGAGGCGGTACACATTGAGTTAAGTCCATGACTCGATTGACGAACGAGATATATAGGGCGTTCAACATTGACTCAAATATAGTTGCCCAAATCCCCGAGTTCGCCGCATGTTCTCAGATGACAGTTCAAATCTTCCGAGCAAAGGGCAACAGACCGCGGCAACTCGAGATTGAGAAGGGGGGGAGAAAGGAAGAACACCGCACATATTGTCTTCTTCCTTCTGCACGCTTTCGCTCTTTCTTCAAGGGGGTTCCCTGGCGTCACTCATCTATCCCTGGTCCTTCCATGCAAGGGCCAGGCCGAATCCCACCAATCCACCCCTCCAACCCGTCTTGCGAGAATATCATTTTGATTGGCCATAAAGCACATGTGGATAAGGGCATGAGATCCACTCTTTTGCCCTATCAGGCGAGCCACGAATCAGATGCGCCCGCCTCACTCCCAATTTCTCCTGGCACGGGCCCGTCTGCAGACCCGGCCCCCGATTAAGGTTATCCGGCCGGCCACTTCCACTTCTTAGGTACGAATCGCCGGTGACGCCGGAAAGAACGCCAAGACCCAACCTATTGGGCCCGGCCTTCCCAACCTGCCAACGGGCGAATCGGCCCTCACAATTGGTAACTTCCGTCCGAAGGGTCCCTGACGCCGATTACGTGCTGTTCTCAGCCACACACCACCAATCTCCACGGACACTCTCTCTGCCTCTGCTCTTCACACTTGCGCCAACTGTCCTCGAACTCAAACGAAGATGCCTCGTCGTCCGAAATAATTACTGGTATGATGAGCACCTCTTTCTGTGCAAAGTCTATCGCTCATGAACTCACATAACATCTGTCCATGCTCACTCGCTTTCACGTAATCCAGTATGACCGACCATTCGACCACTGAAGTGGTACGGGGCAAAGACGCTCTACACTCTTCGGCCTGCAGCTTGCGCCGTACTCCGACGCAATCTTTCTGAAAGATTTAATGGAGCTCATAATCCCATATCGCACATTAGAGTTTTCTCGATATTTCGAGGAAAACTTTGTTACAATCATCAACGTCGATCTGAATATGTCTGCGATGGAGGCATCATGTTGATTGTCCCTCATCAATCCAATGCAGCCAGTACCGCGGCTCCGGGAAACCAAAGATTTAGCAATGCCGTCATGATTATGATAACCACCAAACCCTGAGCCTCGGGATGAATTGCCGCCGGTGCAACGATCCACCTACGAGAGAAACTGTCTTTAAGTGAGGAACGAGTTTCGGTCAGCCGAATCTGGCACTCGTTGCAACCAGGAAACCCCTGAAACGTGAATGCCTGCCAGTTGCCAGGGGCCCTGGAGCTGACGATGGCTGACTATCCGTAGGCTGGGCTGACTGTACAGTTGTGAAGAGATCCTGAATGTTACATGTTGCATTAAATAGCAGGCGTTGTCCTTAAGTAACTGACCCCACTTCCCATCTGCTGTATGATGGCAACGAAGAATGGATGAGGGCCTTTACAAACCAACATATATGTAGCCTCTATCTTGTCGGCCCATGATTGATCGCCATTACGCACGCCTTCACGTACTCAAGTCCTCCCAGGTATAATTATAAGAATCAAGTACTGATGGACTAGGTGAAACTGTTCTTGAAAGCCCGAACACGAGCAACCCAAAAGCTCGGAGGATATAGTAGCTTCCATAAGAAATGATTTCTGGACATTAACTCAGTAGAGACTACGTTGAATAAGGTAGTACTAGGCAGACAATCAATACTTTTGAAGTCCAATTACCACCCAAACTTTGAAGCAAAACACCAATAACTCCGTGAACGCCTCTCCCTTCATCCTAGTCTGACGCTACCATCAGACAATAACCCCCGCCTAATCCCAAAGCGAATCCCCCCAAACCTCATCAACAACCCAAACCCCAACCAGCACAACAAACCCAAACATCGAATCCCCTCTCCTCCCTTCCGACCCCACTCCACTCTTCTTCCCAACCCTCACCGGCCCCGCACCCCCCGTCACCGGCGGCACAACTCCACCGGCCCCCGAAGAAACCGGCGGCCGCGGGCCCCTCTCCTTCGGATAACACTTCCCCATCCAACACTTCTCATCCCGACTACACCCGCCCTGAACACCGCAGCACTCCCCACTCACGCACATCCCGCCGCAGAGTTTCTTGCCGCGCGAGCAGCAGACGCCGATGGCGGCGTCGACGCAGTCGAAGCCTGTGGCGCAGCAACCGGGTCCGCAGCAGGGCATTGATTTTGTGCAGCAGTTCCAGTTGCGGGGGAGGTTGCAGGATACTAGCAGGAAGGTGAGTTAGCGCGATGACTTCTGAAAGGTAGGGAAGAGGGTGATGCGGATTGGAGACGGAAATGGCTAGGGTAGGGAGTAGGGAGGAAGGAGGGAGGGAGGGAGGGGATATATACCGGTTCCTTTGGGACATGTATCTGGGTCGTCGACGGAGCGTGCTGCGTAGAGGGCTGGGCTGCCGACTTCCCATTCTATGATGGAGACGGCTGGGTCTCGTCCGTAGGGGGTCTGGCCGTATGAGGGCCTTTCCTGCGGTGGCTGTTCGTACGAAGGCTTTCCGTATGATGGGTTTTCGCGTGGCTGCTGCTCGTAAGGTGACGGTTCCTCTGGCGAGCCTTCGTGCGGCGTCTCATTGTACGGTGTATCTTCGTACGGTGAATGCTCGTATGGAACTTCTCCAACGCGTGGTGCTGATGGCTGGTTGCCCTGCCACATCTCTTGAGGCATGGCGAGACATACCGAGCTGACGGCCAATGCTGCCCCGAGTATCCGAGAAGATCGACTGAACTTCATTTTCGATCGATAGTATGGGCCGCAATTCCTTCGTGGAGAATGT